TGTGGAGGAGGAAGAAGAGTGTATTGATGCAGATGCATATGTAGTACCAGACTGCAAATATGGCATTCGGGTTGTGCCAGGTCATGCTAGGTTGTGGTTCCGGACCTTTGTTCCGGCAGTGAGTCCCGACCTGGAAGTCGGTATTGATGATGGTAAGCTCGTCAGGAAGTACTCGGGGATTTACAACAACATCAGATACTTGGGTTTTGAAACCTTGTTCCGCCCCGGTGAGTCGGTAAATGTGAACATGGTTAAGGAATTTTATGCTAATTGGCAACCTGAGGCCAGTTTAAATGCGGTGTATGAAGTCCAAGTGCGAGGCAAGATGATTCCATTTTCTTCCCGGGTAATAAATCAAATCATGGGATTCACAGAGCATTCGCATAAGTTGTTCCTGAGGTTGCTGCGTCGGCCCCTCTATCCTAATATTAGACGCCAGCTGTGAGGCGCGGGGTCTCTTGCCACCTGGACGTGAGACGCTAATGAGTTTCACAAAGACATGAAGAAGTGCCAGTTCCAGTGTCCCACCAGATTCATTCTCCGGTTGATAAATGCAAAGATCATGCCTACTCAGAACGACACTGATGTCTCCCCGGTGAAGGTGTGTCTCTTTTATGCTATCTTGACTCGGATGAAGTTTGATCAGGGTAAGATTATGCTTGAGCACATGTCTCGAGTGCGACCACTTGGGGCCCGCCGCTTGTATTTCCCGAGTATGATCACGCCTCTTCTGCGGACATACCATGGAGTACCATTATGGTAGGACAATTTAGGTGATGCGGCCTCTTAAGCCTTTTGATGTCACAGCTATGATGGAACCCCCCTGTTGTTGTTCCTGTAGACCAGAGTTTGTTCGTGTGGAGGAGACACTACAACTGCTATTTGCAGATATATGCCTTCGTGCTGATCGGGGTGAGATTGACATGGCAGAACTGCAGGAGAACTACCCCCTCTCCGCTGTCACTCAGCAGTTATTGGGTTTGGCCGATGGAGTAGAGATGCCACCGGATGAGGACGCCAACTCTATTCCTTCTGATGATGAAAAGTACATGCGCACCTTTGAGGGTGTTGATGAGGAGTAGGCCACGGGCCTCAGGGAGTCACCTTTTCATTCTTGTTTTACTGTTTTGCATTGGGTGATGCAATTTCTTAAGTGTGGGGTGCTCCTATGTAGTTTTATTTGTACTTGTTTCTATTTGCCAGTTGGTGTTGTTTTGATTTTTTTCTATTTGTTTCTTGCTCTGTTAGACAATATAGTTTGTAATCATAACTCTAAATTCTATCGGCCTTTAATATAATTAATATATATATATATATATATATATATATATATATATATATATATATATATATATATATATATATATATATATATAT